CTGATGATCGATTTCAATCCAGGAGTGGCAAGTTCATCAATAGTAACAGTTGTAAGAAGCTGGCAAAGTCAACAGAAGAAAACGTCAGTACATTGTAAATACCACAAGAATGCAAAATCCTGAGCAAGAGAAACGAACATGGAAGCCCAAAATATGAAGAAACTACAAATTCAAAACTGCTTACGTTAGAGTCTGAGTTAGCTTTCACATCGACTGTAACATTCTTGTTCTTTAGCTGAGACTGAATCTCACCAAAAATCATTTCATTTTTCCTTGTACTGGAAGCTGTAATTGCCTGTAAGATAAAGCAAAATTTAGAACATGATTAAAAAAACAGAACAAGAAATATAATGCAAACTAATGCCAGTAACTAAACTCGCAGATTAACTAAGATTTAGATGTCATGTGAAATTCTCTGAGTCTCAATCATAGTTGGTTGCTCAACACCAAAACTTCCACAATAAATCATGCTAAATATAAACCTTCCAATTGAACATGTCATGGATGGGAAACAAACAGCATCCCCTAATACCATGGAGACGGATTCTTGCTCCCCTCCCATAACAATGCAATAAGCATGTACCCTTTTACCACACCAGTTGAATGCTGATAACTGTTTCTGTCGAATATTCATGATGACAATTTCTTACACATTAACACACATAACCATTCCTGTTAGTACTAAGCACCAAGAAATCCAACATAACACAGGAATGACTTTTTCCAGAGTATCTAATTCCAAATTGCCACTGATAAAAGATGCAGTTAACATATATTAAAAAATGCGGTAGGGGGGACCCAGTTTATCCAAGGTTTATTGGTAAGGGTGGGGCATTCAAACTCGGGCCTTGGCTCAGGGATCCTCTTGCCTTACCAAGTTTCCCTCATCCCCAAAAAAAGAACATATATTAAAAAATAAAAAAGAACAGCCAGAAATCATTAGCACTATTAAATATTGCATATTCCAATTTCGCCAGGTGTATCTAGAAAAACGAGAAGCATGATAAAAACATCGCAGACTTTTGAATCAATTCAAGATATGACCGTATGAGGACATACAAAAAGAATCAACAAATCATTTAAGGTTCATCTTTAGTAACAGTTGGCATCAAAAATCGCAAACCCACAAATCAAAATACGTAAATGAGAAAAACCCACAAATAGAAAGAAACAACAAATCGTCTAAGGTTCACATTTAGCACTATAACACTATTTGGCCTCACAAGTTGCATCACCACACGTCAAAATACGTAAACCAAACATCCATCAAAAATTATGAAAATGCCCGACCAAAACAACCAAATAAGTCACACCATTACCAGAAACAAAACGTAAAACATTGTAAAGCAAGTTACTGTACTGCCTAAACATTTCTAAGGAAAAAAAATTTAGAGCAAAAACTATTACAGAACAACTATGAGAAACTAGCCACTATGACATGCCAACAAACAAACGAAAGCAACTGCTATGTAGGAATCCATATAGCAAATATTTGTGAAAGCAATTTTGTTCTCAACCAAATAAACCGGAGAAGAAGAAAAATTCCTCGGCAGCAATATATTGTTGTTTAATCATCTAAAATCCAGAGTCCCATAAACATCCAATAAAGAGAACATGGTCTAACAACCCACTCTAGCAAACAATCTCCACCATACAAAGTAAACCCATCGAACAATTGAAACCTATTAATCAATTAAATAGACAGATAACTCATGCAAGTGATTGACCATGCCAAAACTACCTTCGCACTAGAAAAGCTCGGATAATTGATCTAGCATGCATTAAAAAAATTACAACAAAATACTCCCTGTTGTCGGTTTGATGCGCATGCAAACCCTAAACCGCGCATTAAATATATCAAATCAGGGACCTATTGCGCTACTACAAGCAAACCAATTTAACAACTAGAAACCCTAAATCAAAGAAGAGGAATAAACCCCACTTAAATCATTCAATAATCTTCTGAATGGATCAAACGAAACCCTAGAAAAGAGGGGGAAGAGAAGCTCACGACTCCATTTGCGGTCACGGTAGTGAGCGTGAACTTCTGATGGGTCTGATAATCCTTGTACAGGAGATCTGAATTCAACAAAAAAATAAAAAGAACAAAATTAATCCTAAAAGGCATCAAAAAAAATGGAGAAAAAAAGGGGGGAACGATTGGAACCTCTAGCTTTCTTGCCGATGTCGATGTAAAGGCCCGGACCCATCTCTAAATTTTCGATCTTTTGAAGAACGAAAGAGATCGATTGCTGAAGACAGAGAGAGGGCGTCGAAATGGGGGATTTTTTTTTATTTTTTTTTTATTATAGAAACCCTAATCCTGGTTCTCCGGGGAGCAAACGGAAATTGTTGGTGAGGACGCGTGGAAGCATCTGGTCCGTTCAGTTAGTTGATGGA